GTGGACATTTCTATTTGCTGACCACTTTCCTTCTTTTTATCTTCCAGATCCAGTGACTACACTTAACACCCTCTTCTGTTCTATTGGCTGCATCTTAAGGACTTTAATGGCCACTGGCTTCTGATAGGTTCAACCAACTGACTGGGAGTACTGGCAGATTATGGGAGGAAGGGATAAAGGAATGTTCTGGATATTACATATGTCCACTTCTGCCAGTAGTGCCAGTGTGTTCAGGACACACTCTACACATAATTCCTTCCTGTTAGTTCCTCCTCTCACCAGAATGCTCATCTCTGATGACCACCAAGAACAGTGGTTCCCAAGCTGTGGACACGGCCCTTTGGGGTCACATTTCAGGTATCCTGCATATCAGATATTTACATTACAGTTTATAACAGTAGCAAAATTACAGTTATGAAGTAGCATTGAAAACAATGTTATGGTTGGGGGTCACCACAACACGAGGAACTGTATTAAAAAGCCGCAGCTTTAGGAATGTTGAGGTGTCACTGAGTTAGACTCATACTGATCCTCCAGAATCCCCTGAAGTTTCTACAAAGCTGGCCAATCAGGAAATAGAGCTTATCAGCCATCACCCAGGGTTCATCTACTACTGGTCCCCCAGTTCAGACAGGTATAAGAAAAACTGAAACAGTGAAAAAATAAGAATCTAAAGAATCACTCTTTTCATCCACAGTCAATCTTTGTTGCTCTCAATTACAATTTTTATCTTGAAACATAGGTGTCTAGTTATTACTCTCCATAGACTAGTACATCCAGTTCATTGTTTTAGATTAACCATAGTGGTTGATTAAAGAAGGTTGATTGGAATAAAAATATATTTGGCGAAAGAAATTAGGGTCTTCTGGGCCATGGTGGCACATGCCTTTAATCCCAGCACTTGAGAGGCAGAGGCAGGCAGATTATCTGTGAGTTCGAGGCCAGCCTGGTCTATAGAGCGAGTTCCAGGACTGTTACACAGAGAAATCTTGTCTCAAAAAAAAAAAAAAAAATCAAAAAAAGAAAAAAGAAGAAATTAAGCAGTGTTCACACTGGATTGTTATGAATTACTTGCAAAAAAAGCAAGGGGAGAAAAGGAAAGTTAAATGCTGTGTAGTGTTTGTCACAAACCTGATCTGTGTCATAAGTGAGCATGGGCTGGACTCTAACCCTGACTCATCACTTAAATGTCCTTGTTATGCAGAGAAATACACAGCCCTGGGCTCTGGCATCAGAACAGCAACCAGCAACCAACAACCATACTTGAAAACCACTGAACATCTACACCCACACATTGAGACAAAAAGATATTTGTTCTGAATGGAATAACATATAGAACTCGGCTTACATACTTAAATGGGGCATTTTGGCACACATTCTTACTGAAGGATTGTTTGCCATGGACGGGTGAGAACATGAGAGGAAACTTAAGAGTCACTTCATTTTAGAGTTTGGAACAGTATTGGGAAGATCATGGGAAACTAGGAATATTGCCATAGCAACTTTTAAAAGTTGCTATCTGTAGCATGCCCTTTTCTTTTGGTATTTGTTTTTAAATTTTAATTTACCATACTTGTTAGCAATACAACCTACAAGTTTTATATCTAAAACTGGGCCTATTGTGTTTTTCTTTAAGGATTACTACATATGAACTCCAATGATTGATTTTTCTTTTATTCTCCTACACTAATAGGATGCCATTAATACTACTTTTGTCTATTAAGTATCATGTAAGCTCTTCATGTCATATAATTAGCAAAAGTCCAAGGAAAGTAAAGAACCCCAAGAACTGAGCAAAAGATGCTCCTAAATAAAATATGCCTACATTGGTGATTGAATGTAATCATTTGAGCCAGGTGTAGTTCCATACATCTGTAACTCCAGCATTTAGAAGACTGAGGCAGGAGGATTGCCATGAGTTTGACAGGCTGGGTTTTACAATAAATACAAAAATATTGATTATAAAGACCCTGTTTTTTTTTTTTAATTATCTGTTGCTTCAAGTTATATTATTCTTACGTTTCGTATTATTTATTTAGCAAACAGAGATTCTTTGGTCAAATAAGTGTGAAGATGCTGGAGTAAGTGGCTTTTTAAAAATGTCCTAATATATCATAACTATAACTTTTTAAAAGAATAAATGTAGTAAGCTATTTGTTTTACTTGTTTGTTTTTAAGACAAGGTCTCACTGTATAGCCCTGGCTGGCCTGAAACTTACTATGTAGACCAGGATGGCAGATAAAGAGATTCACCTTTATCTGCCTCTAAGTGCTGGGATTAAAAGTCATGCACCACTATGTCAGACAAAACTGGTTTTACAAAGTTTCCATCTATGTACTATTTTTACACAAAATAATTTTACACAAAACAACTTTTAAATTGTTTCCTAAAATGTAGTCTTCCTTTCTAGAATTAATGTCACCAGAAGGATCTTTTAAAATTGAATCTGGTTGTATAGTTTCTCAGTTTCTATACTTAGTTTTTGAGACAAGGTCTCTCACTCTATGGCCCAGTCTGATTTTAAACTCACTACACAGGCAGTATTGGTCTCAGTTGGAGATATTTCTGCCTTTGTCTACAAAATGCTGGAATCGTAGGCTTACAACTACTCATGGCCAGTTTATATGCTTTAGTGACTCTTACTAGAATTCTGATTAAGCTCCCTTTAGGGCATAACATGAGTTCCCCAGTGAAATAGAAGAGATATCTATCCCATCATAACTAGGTCTGGATGCTCCCAAAATGGGAGTTGAAATCATCTTCATATAGTTACACACCTAACAGATAGCATAAGCTCATGTGCATTGATGGAGGAGGAGTGTTTTGAAAGGTGTACATGAGGTCCTAGTGGTCTTTGCTATGGGCTTGTATAGATAGAGATTACCTGTGGAGATTCCTGTTTAATTTTTATAACAATATTTAAGGAAATTTGTGGTAGATTCATTTTCTTTTTAAATGTGTGTGTGTGTGTGTGTGTGTGTGTGTGTGTGTGTGTGTGTGTGTAAAATGTTTCCAAGTGGGAACAATGATTGGGAGAGACAAGTCTTTTTTCCTACTGCTAACAATATCTGGGAAGACAGTGGAAAGCTTATCACCAGCTACCAGTTTCTCACCTAGCATCACTCCAAGCAGAATACCCTAATGCTGAAAACTAGTACCAACCACATGGTGCAGCCTTGGCATTCTCTCAGCATGGGTCAGCAGTCAATGCCCGACAGCTGGCAAAGAGCCTCTCATGGGATGTAAATGGTTATGAACAGGAGAGGATGTAAAGAAGAGTCCACACTACAGATAGAAAAGCAGATTTAAAAGTGAAACAGAGAAGCAAAAACCATAGCCAGAAAAAAAAGGCACTGCTATAAAAAAATCCATATAAAGTTTTAAACAAAAAGATAATAATTGAAATAATGCATTTAGTGGGAAAGCTAATTAGGGAAACTGATGAGTATGTTTTCAAGAAATAATACATCAAATATAGAATTTTTTGTTTGTTTTTGTTGTTTTTTTTTTTTCAGGAACAATAGCTCAAACAAATAAAGGAAAGTTTAAAACAAAGGAGATAATAAAATTGAACTGGAAATCTCATTGTCTACAACACTATGTAAGACTAGAGAGAATGGAAGACAGATGCAATATCTTCGGTAAAAATGAATAAAAAAATACACCTAAGGCTGATAAGGACCTAGAAACTATCAAAAAGGACAATAAGGGAATACATGTATATATACACAAATATAGCAGAACAGTGAAATATCAAAAATATTAAAGGGAAGAGAAACCACAAAATGGAAAGGGAAAAAATAACTAGTCAATTATGAAACATATGAGGAGGGACCAGAGCTGGATGACTGTTCTCATCAGCATCATAGGATGGAGGAGAACAATGGAGCATCTCCTTCCAAGGACTCAGGGAAAAGAATGCTATGCTTTGACTCTATCCAGCCAAATTAACCACATTTAACATGGAACAGAACATGTTGTAGGCCATGCAAGTACTGACAATTTACTCTGAATAGGAGGGTATGCTTCAGCCACTGAAAATAAGAGTAAGTAGTAGAAAGAGAACACCAACATAGGAATGAGGAGTGGGCTGTGAGAGGAGTAAAAACATGAGGAGGTTCTTACTTTATAGAAAGACTTTGGAATTGATCCCCCCACCACCACACACACACCTCAACTCCTTTTTAAACCAATAAGGATCGGATGGAAGTATATATCTGATTGTTTCATTATGTTAGAGTCTTGCCATGTTACTCAGGCAGTTTTGAACTCCTGGGTTCAAGAGATCTTCCACCTTGGTCTCCCTAGTGCTCGTATTACATACATGAACCATTTTGCCTCATTGCAATTAATAAATACTAAAAATTAAAATAGGAAATTAATAAAACTAGTAGAGGGAAGGTGAACTTATGTAGGTGCAGATGTTAAAAAAAAAAGGACGGGACAACCACCCAGCTACTCGTGTGGGTTCCGGTACTAAACGACCCGGCGTCTGCTCCTCCATCATCAAAGAATCTTTATGTCTACATTTTCACTTAAAATATTGTCTTCCCCACTCACAATCATGCCATAGACTGACATTTTTATCCAGGCCCTTGTAATATCTAACTATGTTGTTTACAAGCCAACCTAGCAAAGGCCAAGGACAGCCCCTTCATTTCTACAGCCCTAACTACAATACAACTACTCAGTGTTTGTTGAGCAGATGGACATAAGGCAATTTTTCATACTTCAAATGTAGGCCTGACTGCATATGACCAGGCTACGAATTACAGTACATTATTTTTTAATAAAAGGGCTAGGGTTGGTCATGTCTGTCACTAATGCCTTTCTAACAATGATTACTGTATCTTTTCATTAAGTTTAGAAATCAAAGGAAGTCAAGATGCAAGGGGATGGGCCATTAGACATGATTAAGAAACCTTCCATCTCCAAAGTTCAAAGTTCCTTAGAAAACAATTTTCCAGAGCTCTTTGCCCGATTGTCACTGGGCTCGTACCTGCAGCAGCTCTATGTCTTCATGGTTTTCAGACCCAGGAATGTTCTCCATCAATATGGCAGTCATCACTTTCACGTTCATTTTCACCATATCCAATTCACTATGCAGTTTCCCAATCTGTGGAAAGCAATGGAATCCCCAGGCATTAAGTTTGACACACGGGCATTAAGTTTGACACACGGACGGTTGGCTACCTTTCTTCCTGCCCACAGGACAAATGCTGGGGATCAAATGCCTTTGCAAAATGTAACATTTTCAAACATACAGAGATTTACCTCAGCAATTGTATAATTATTTTACAACTTATACCCCACTGTTTCCTGAATAGACTTGGCATTTCTTAGAAAAAATCCACAGATATGCCTCAGGAAAACTACAGAGGAAGAAACAAAGTGATCTGGACCAATATGGATAAAGTAGGAAATATTTAGTTACAGAAGTTAATAGGAACCTGGAAAAAAAGAGAAATGCCATCACACATTATCCCGAGTTTCTGGCAAGCAATCATAAAAGAGAAGGAACGAGAAAGGAGGTGCGATTTTAGAGGTATCATAATATTTTAAAAGGAAAGACAAAAAACCGAGAAACACTTTTAAAAAAATGGTTTAAATTATAAGAGGAAGTAATCATGTGGATTTTTAATATAAGAAGCACTGGATAATATTAATATGAAGCCTTCAAACTAATGTAAAGACTTCAACAATAGTATTATAATACAAACATCCTTTTTATAAAAACATTGTTTACTTACTTATTTGGTGTGTGTGTGTGTGTGTGTGTATGTGTGTGTGTGTGTGTGTGTGTTTACATAAGTTGGAGTACCCCTCTTGGAAGCTGCGTCTTTCCTTCCACCATGTGGGGGCTAGGCATTCAATTTAGTCATCAGGGTTGGTGGAAGGCAAAAATTGGCCCTGAGCACAATTTTTACATGTGTGAGAACTGTATTCAGACAAAACTCAATGGGCTAATTCTGCACAGAAACAAATCATGGTGACACAGTTTCCCTAAGTGGCAGTCTCTCCCCCACACAGTAAAAGAAGGGGATATGTATGCATGCAGTCTATTCCTGTCACCCCAACATGTGGGAGGCAGAGGCAACGGGATTATCAGTAATTGTAGGCCAACCTGGGCTATATGGTGAGTTCCAGGCCAGAAGAAGCTACATCTCAGAAAGCAAAATAAACATGCTACTTACTTGAGGGCTGTGTTACATTACATTTAAACTTCATAATGCTATTAAGAAAGCTCAAACTGTAAGTACAATGCTTGAAAAAGACATGAATAAATACAGTTGTCAGTGTTGTTACCTGTTCTGGGACTAATGAAATAGTTGGGTTCTTAGGAGCAATTATAGAAGAAAGAGCAGGTGCTGTAGGGACAGGTGTTGGTTGCTTTGGTGAGAGCTGAGCAGCCTATCAATATAAAATAAGGAAATATTATGACATGCATTAACAAAGGTACCTCCAGCCTGGCTCTCAGTCAGCTGACTCCGACACTAACAGGAAAAGGCCCAGGTAGTTGGTGATGGCTCAAAGTTATCATGAGGCAAAACTCATCTAATATTAGAGAAGAGCTCTAGGCAAATGGCATGCTGTGACATAGGAGGTGTTCATAAATTAGGCTAATTAATGAAATGACTAATCAATAAAGCCTATTGGTTTTCACCAAGACACAGTATGATGAACCACCATGTAAAATTATGGTTTTCCCTTTTCCGTGTTATTAAAAATGTCAAACCAACCCATGGGAAGTCTTTTAACCCCCACAGCTGGTAAGGTTTCTCCTCCATCAGCGAGTTGCTCCCTGGGTCCTGATATGCCACCATGAGTGTACAGCCACAGCAGCCGATCATGAATACGATGTTCTAGGTCAGTGCTTCTCAACATCAGTGTATGTAGAAACACCCAGGACCTTTTCAGAAGGAAGATTCCAGCATGGTATAGCACACTATGGTCAACAAACTGAGCCTCAAATCACACTGTGAGTGGTGAAGCCTAAACCCAGGTTATCCTGTGAGATATGGACATATTCTAATAAATTCTAAGCTGCTGCGAAGCTTAGACTGACCTGGCACTATCCCTTTCACTATGAAAGAGCATACATTACTTACATGCATCAAAGAAAGGGCTCCTACCTCCCGCCTTGTCTCAGCCTCTGCATCCGATGGTGGGAACTGCACTCCCTTCTTCAGCAGGTCAAGGTACACTTCTTTCACTTCACTCACATCCACACCTCCTGGGAAGCCCTGTGACCAAGTCTAAATTCAAGAGACACAGCGTTCCAGAGTGGAAAAGAGAATAGTGGAAACCAATAATACATCTTAAAGCTTACGATTGAAAATTACGCACTTTATTCAGAAAGAAAAAGCTAGTTTTGAATCTTGTGGCCATTTTCAAAAGGACTGAATGGCCACGTTCAAAGGCTAGAATGATATTACGAAGTGTTTTGAATCATCAGACTCCCATCCTTCAGTATCTTGACAACACTGGGATTGATACGATTGGTCATCTACTGCTGCCCTAAATCTAAAATTTAAGCACTCTAAAATCCTACCGGTAGCTTTTCTGCTAAACAACCCTAGAACACAGTTTCTGTATCTGCAGAATCAATCCACACATGACTACCTTCCCCATGTGACATGGATACAATAGAAACTGAAAGGAAAAAGGGAAATGACTACCCGTTCCTCAGCAGAACACTATCCAGTGTCAAAAACTCTTGCTCCACAGAAACCCTGCCTAACATGCATGAAGCCCTGGGCTCAATCCTCACCACTGCATAAACTGGGTACTTGGGAGGTGGAGATAGGAACATAAGTTCAAGATCACCCTTGTCCTCACATAGAGAGTTAGAGGACAGCTTGGATAAGAGAGAGAGAGAGAGAGAGAGAGAGAGAGAGAGAGAGAGAGAGAGAGAGAGAGAGAGAGAGAGAGAGAGAGAGAATGTCAAAAGAAAGAAAGAGAGAAAGGAAGATAGGAAGAAAGGGAGAGAGAGAGGAAGGAAGGAAGGAAGAATGAAAAGGGAGGAAGGCAAGGAGGAAGAGAGAGAGTGAGGAAGGGAGGGAGGGAGGAGAAAAGGGAGAAAAGGTATCCCAGGTAACTAAAGGATCGTTTGTATCATTATCTCCCTATATTTAGAAATTTACCCTTACCTTAATGAAATTCAAGATTCTGTTCTGAATGTCCAAGGGCAAGGTATATCTGGGATTCAGCAGCTTCACTAGAGTATCTTTAATGAACTCCTTCTTCACAATCAGAGATTGGAAACTGGGACCACAATTCTGCATGCACATGTCAATCAACTGAATAAAAGAGCAAAGTCAGATGCTAAAGTTCTCTAGAGAATCCCTTCTTGAACTTACGACCAAACAAATGCTTCTAAAAGGTGACTTCTGCTAGCATTGTAATTAAAAAATAGTATTTGCTTCCTAGAATACTAAACTGCCTGGTAAAATGTTAGGTTCAAATATTATGAAGAAGAAACCTAATGAAACTACCCAGAGATAGCACTGATGAGGAGTCAGGATTCAAACAGAGCACTCAGCAGCACATGGTAGCAGATGTCACGTGCTAAATGCAATGCCAAGTAAAACATACATGTTATGCTAGATGACCTAATATTTGCTTCAGGTTATCTTGGGTCAGCCTGGTACCTTCTGGTGTCCTGACTCTGTTAATAATCACACACACACACACACACACACACACACACACACACACACACACACAAACACTGATAGCTGGGAAACCAGCATTGGACTGACTCAGACCCCCTGAACATGGGTCTCAGTTAGAAGTCCTGGGCAGTCTAAAGGACCTTTGACAGTGGAACCAGGATGTATCTCTGGTGCACAAAAGGACTTTGGAAGCACATTCCCCATGGAGGGATGCTCCTTTAGCCTAGAGGCAGTAGGGAGGGCCTAGTCACTACTCTAAATGACTTGACAGATTTCGCCCTCCCTGTGGAGTGGGGGGAGGGTGAGATGGGAGGGGGTTCGGGGGCATAGGAGGGAGGGAGAGGGAACTGGGATCAATACGTAAAATAAGAAAAATAGTAATAAAAAGAAGAGAATACAGAAAAAAAAAACAATGACACATCCTTTCACTCTTAAATGTTCTGCTTTGGAAAATTGCAGTCTGTCTAGCAATAGATTTTTATAGGCAAGTGTGATTATTTAGAGTCAGGTGATTGTATAGGCATTTTAGATAAATCTAGTGCCAAGCTGAGCATTGAAAAATGACCAAGGAAAATAGTACTGAATATATGGCTGTATTCTAGATGGATGAATGCCACTATGGTTTGCATTTGGAATGTCCCACAGGCCCCCTTGTTTAAGGCTTGCTGCTATTTGCAGGATGTTCTGGGCTGTGACAGGGATAGCATCAAAGGGGATTATGGTACTATGATCTCTTTCTTTTTAACCTTCCAGCCATAAGGTGAGCTATTTTGTTCTGCCACAAATCTCTACCATGGCGTGCTGCCTAGACACAGGCCACCAGATCATGAATATCTGAAACCACAAGCCACAATGAACTTTCTTTATAAGCTACCTCAGGTAGATAATATAGAGACTCCTGGAAAGAAGACTAATGTAAATCATGTGCAAAAAAAGTATAAAGATATCTAAGTGTATGAACTGTCACAATGGGAGATTTGTACTCTGCTTTGTCTTTAGTGGTGGCTTCTTGATGTGGGCAAATTGAGAACATTGGAAGGGTACTGTGGATAAAGTCTGTGAGGGCATCATCTAAACTGTACAGATATCTGCTTGGCAGGACAGACTCCAAACATTACCCAGGAGTCCCTGAAGGGAATTCGTTAGTCATATCATATATAACAACAGGGACCAACTCTACTGCACATAGGAAAATTGGAAGGCGAGTGATAGGAGTGATAGAACAATCTTGTAGGCACTGCCCTACAAGGGCGATCTTGTAGGCACTCATCTACAAGGGTAAACTCGAATGGCGTGAGTTCACCAGGAAGAATGGATTACGAAGGAAGAACAGCGGACATGTATTTGCTGAAACAAGAAGACTGAAAGCTAAGAGACCTTCACTCTGCCTGGAGCTGTGGGTACCTTTCATGGAAAGATGAGGGTGGGAGGGGTCTGGGGACCCTAGAGGTAAAATTGGTGGGACAAAATTTAGATATTTTAGGCTTGAAAGGAAAAGCAAACATCCAAATAGGTTTCGCAGAGAACCCTACATCTCCAGCCGCAGGTCAGGAAAGTGAAGGACCCTGAGGGAGTCATCAAGACCACCAAGGAAGAGCAAAGAGGAGGGATACCTAAGACATTGGGTCAGAGAAATGCAAAGAAGGCAGTGAAAAGCAACAGAAAAGAAAGAGAGGAAGGAAGGGAGGGAGGAAGGAAGGGAGGGAGGGAGGAAGGAAAATAATGGTAAAGTTTCCAACAGGAAGAGTGTCAATAGTTACCAATATGGACAGACAACTGAAATGTGTTCACGGATTAGTGGGGCCATTTAACACTTTGAATGAAAAACAGGCACAAACAGGGCTAATAAAGAATGAGCTGGGATGGAAAAACTTCATGCCGATTGATAAAATGATCTAAAGGTAAAATTAAATCTCCATGCCACTTTTAGTTTGGGAGACCAAAGAAACTATGCCCTGACTGTCATCAGAAAAGTGATCCTGGCACCTGACTTCCCAACAATGTACTGTATTTTGAGTGTTACTTTCATGCAATACAAAAAGGAACAGCAGGTACAAAGGCTATACTTTTAAAGCAATGAGACCATGGGAGCAATCAGAAAGCGTTGAAGCTGTGTGCATGAAGCTACTGAAACACAAAAAAGCAAAGGGAGAGAGAGAGAGAAGCAGAGCCCACACCAAAGTGAAATGACTGTGTACTGATGTAAGCTTGCTAGACAGAACTGGAAAGGCAAAGCAGAAATGATGCTGAGCTTGACCAACTCTTAAAAAAGTGCATTTTTTGATGGGGAGGATGCTGGATACAAGCACCTCTATTCAATGAGAGTTAACAGAAATACTTATCCGACTGTTTGTGCTGTCTTGGATAAGGTAACTAGCCTCCACATCTCCCTTTCACTTACAGTAAAGTAAATGATGAATTTCTTGCCTCCCTGTTGCCCAAACCAATTTTATCTTTGACATATTAATACCTTATGATAATAACATTCCTAGAAGGCACATGCACAAAAACCAGAGTCAACACACAGTTCTGCGAGTGTTAACATCTGGAGATCAGCAATCATGCCCTTTGTGGTTTCCTGTTGGAATCAAGAATGTCAGAGCTCATTATTTCTATATCGTTTCCTCCATTATGCCTCCAGCCCTCACCCCCAGCCCTGGCCCAGCTCACTCGGATTTTAAAATGTACGGTGGGTAAATGAGAAAACTTCTATGTGTTGCTTAACAGGTTTTGCTATCTGGTTCTGGTGAAAACGTCCTTAGATAACCCTATCTTTGGAACAGGATAACTAGGTATGCATAATTTGAATTGGAAGAGAGAACTATAGGAACCAAGCAACCAGGAAAAGCAGAAGTGGGTGACTCAAAGCTTTCCCAATCTATTTTTGTGCTTAGTTGAGCAAATCACTTATGTGAATTTGTAGCGACCCTGTCTGCATAATGTGCCTCTTTCTAGGAGCTTGCCGTATGAAATGTGATATACTCTGAGAGGGAGGCACAGAGCAGGACCTCAGCAAATGGGAAGCACTGAGCCCATCTGTATCTATGGAGAATGTTCCAGCATAGCAGAATGAGCTCATCAGCAGAAAAAAAAAAAAAAAAAAAATCTTCACTGACAGCTAGAAGAAAAAGCGCGACTGTACAGTTTTGTTACTCACTACAGGTATCTAAACCGGGTACAGTGACAATACTAGATATTAGGTCTATCAGAGCTATATTTGGATCACCAACAGTGATTGCATCAAAGGAGGACTACTAGCCATGTCTAGAAGAAAGCTGTCTTCTCACCCTTTCCCGTGTGATACACTACTAGATGGACACTCACCTTTTCATATCTCCTGAAATCGCTGTAACTCATTATTAGTGCACATTTCATACAGGACTATTACATTCATTGACTCTCGGGAACTTGTTCGACCACTTTGCATTTGACAATGACAGCAGTATTTGCTGAGATTACTCACAATTGACTCATTCTAGAAAGGGCTCTCTAGCTTAGAGTGAGCAGGCTTAGAACCAACACTGAATGAAATACAAAGCAGAGCATTGACTCCTTGGGCTGGGAGTGTATCTCAGTGGTTAGGTCCCCTGACTTGAATGCACAAGGGTACGGAGTCTATCCAAAGCACAGTAGAAGGAAAACACAAAAGCTACTAGTTTCACTAAAAATATGTCACTGATTGTTGGTAGAAAATCTTAGTCAAAGTCTCAACCAAGGGTAACAAGTCCATGGAGGACTCAAAATGATAGACAGTATTAAAAACATTCACAATCGACTTAGGCTCTCATCATTGCACAGAAATAAAATAGAAAGTTTACATATGGAATGACTTTTTAAATAGTCTATTTGGTAAACTTATAATTGCCTTTGACAGACATTGGGCAATTCCTTCTCTGAATAATTTCTCTCATAATTCAATTTAGCCTAAGAAAATACTGAACCCAGTGCAGAGGCCTAGAGATCACTATGAAAGGCAGTAAGTTGGCGGAGGTAAGACACATGGGTCTTTATGTGAACAACAAGAGGAAATCTACATGCAGCTATAAAGAGTCAAAACCCATTTTGGGAAAATTAATAAGAAAATTTCTTCCTTTCATCCCATGGCCCTTTTTCTATGTTCATGACCTACACACACACACACACACACACACACACACACACACACACACGCCAATCTAGAGACAAGAGAACATTTGTTATTTATCTCTCGGAATCTGGCTTATTTTGTTTAACCCAATATAACTTATGGGAATGAAGAAAGGGGGGAGGGGGAAACAATGGAATACATGTAACATGAAAGAGGGGGTACTACTAGGTAGAGAAAGGGTCTAGTATGAGGGAAATGATGAAGGAGGAGCAGAGGAAGGGAGGAATGAATAAGAAGAATGTTCAGTGATATACAGTAATATATATGTATTAAAATGACATAAAGAAGCCCATTGCTTTGTATGCCCAATTTAAAAACTAAGTAAGAGAGTCTGGAGGGATGGCTTAGTTCTTAAGAGCACTCAGTGCTTTTCCCATGACATGAGCTCAGTTCCCAGTACTCAAGCAGCTCACAAGTGCCTGTAAGCCCAGCTCCAAGGACCTAACACTTCAAACATGTGGCACATACTCACATAGACACACACACATAAATAAGAATAATTTTTAAAATAAATTAAGGGGAAGAAAAAAATGCAAGAAAAAGCAGGTGACTTCCTCGACCTTAATGAACAATGGTAACAATAAAGTTGCATTCTAACCTCTAACCCTTGACTTTCGTCTTGGTTTTCATGTGCTGGTTAGGGGAATCACAGGGCAGATTAGTCATTGTGAAGTGGGATGTAATAAAAAGAAGCAGTTAGCTGGAATAAATAAAGCTTGAAAGGCTAGACTAACAGAAAGGGAGCCTGGACACCCAAAGAGATATGCAGGATCCATGGGACAACCTTCTACAGAACCCATCCACCTCCTCTGAGAAGGCTCTGTCCCCAAATGAAGATGGATAACACAGACTTGGAGATATACAACCAGTGAAACACCAAGGAGGCTTCATGCAACACTAACAGAGGCAAACCACTCAAGAGGGACAGCTGTAAGATGGCAAAGTGATACCCATTCAGAAATGCAGAAGGTGAATACACATTTGTCCCCCTCCTTTATCTTTCTCTCCTAGTTCTCTTAACCTGGACACTCCTGATAGACTCTATTTCAGTGCTCTATCTTAAATATTTCATTTAGTGCTGTCTGTACTTTTTTACAATGGTAAAAATACCTCCAATTAGATCCCCAAGTCTTCCTGAATAGTAGGAGAAATGGAATGAAGTTTGGGGAAGGGAGGTAAGGGACCTAAATCAATTCATTCTATGCTGGTCACTGATGTGTCTGACTCTGTACTGTGTGTGTAAGAAGATGGTGAAGACACAAAGGAAATACATGAGAGACCCGATACCCGATTCATTATGAGAAGTGGTATAGAGGAAAGGGCATGGAATTTAGAATCTTAGGAATGGGTTCAAATCCTACACATGCTACCAATAGCAAGTTACTTTTAGTACAGTCACTGAACATCCTTTGTTTCATTATCTGCACAATGAAACTGATAAGACAATCACCTCCACTGGTGATAAGAGCATCAATCATGTACCAGGCATTTCTGTCTATTTTACCCCCTTCTCATTAGTTCCCATTAGTCTGTGCTCTTCCTGAGCAGGCTGCTATGAGTTAGAGACAGAGGAGAACCCCAAATCCAGGAAGAAGGAAAATGCCTCTAGAACTATAGTCAGACCCAGAAGGGACTGTTCTGTATTTGTAGAATGTATACTATTTATTAATTTCTTTTCATTCTGTCAGTCTCCAAGTACACAGGATGTGATACTTTGTATTCCAGTGTGAATCTACAAAGTAGAAACTATATTCACATCTGTCTTATAGCCTTCTGGTAAACACTGCCCTTACTCCGAAAAACAGTGTGACGTTGGCCATACCTATGTGTTTAACTTCCAGAAGAGATGAGGAAGGCATATGGCTCATTTCTAAAGAAACAAAGGGCAATTCACCAATGAGACTAAAGAGGCATGTGGTCAAAACCAGGGGGAAAGGGGACTATTTCAATAGGAGCTCACATCTGTATCATAGAAGAAACTACACAGGAGAACTGCATAGTTGATGGAGAATGTTCTACAAGTTACATCATCAGAAGAACCTTGTTGAGAGGCTGCCAGTGCCTCAGATTCCTACAGCAGTGCTGGAGGGAAGTAGAAAGCTGTCAGGGAGCCAGGCATCTTTCACAACTTCAATTTTCTTCTTCAAACACGGCCAACAAATTCAAATACACACTTATTGATCCATTTATCGTCTACTGGTTTTTAACCACAAGTTCCAAGATCTTGTTCGGGAAAAACTGATTCTGTGGGAATGTTTGTTTTCTTTCTACAAAAGTAGATGGCATTATAATCAACTGAACTCCCTTCTTCAGTTCTCAGTAGATGAGGCATCTTAAGTCCCAAAGTCCAGAACTCAGTATTATCCAGTGGTCATCTCTAAGACTATGAGTGTATTTATCAACTCACTAAAAATATTAATTCTAGGCAAAGAAACCCCACAGTCTTAATGATAGCATTTAAAGTACTTACTGACAAGGTAAGTTGTATTTCCTTGTGGTTGTAGTTTTTGGAAATTCTTTTCTTCAAAGCTTTTACTGCATCTTTTGGCCTATGGCAATAAATACATTGCAATCATCAATATGGATATAGAAGTGGTCTCCAAGAAAGCAGCGTGCAATATGGAAATAGGAATGGCTTACAAATAAAGATTGATGTGTAATTCTGCTGCCCCTTACCATGTCTAAGTCTCCTTGTGAAATAGATAGATCAAACCACCTGCCACACTCCCACTCCCCCCGTAAGACACAACTCAGATGTGTATATAAATGTATTTATTACATAGAAAACACTGGTCATGAAATGTGTGCACACCAGCTTCTATCAAGGTTCAAAATCGGGTCACATGAAATGTAACCCTAAAACAACAAAAGAAAAGTGATCCCTTTAAGACTCTTAGCATTTCCTGAGTATCCTGTTGGTAAGGGGATATAGGAATTACAATAGTTTGCTAATTCTGACATGCTACAACTTTATGTTAGGAAAATCTGCAAGCAGAGAGTCAAGATTCATTTTATTAGATTTCCCTTTTGCATGATCAATGAAGAAATCGATGATGGTAATGAAAAGGTTCGCTGAGGATCTAAACACAACACGGGGCAGACAATATTATAAACATGGATCTGGGGAGATGCTGAGTAGGCAAAAAAAAAAAAAAAAAAAAAAAAAAGCACTTGCTGTTTAAAGCTTGAGAACCTGAGTCCGGATCCCCAGACCCAAGTAAATTTCTGGTGGATGGATTACAGCCTGTCTGTCATTCTAAGGCTTGCTTAGAAGGTAAAGAGGGGCTCCTGGGGTAAGCTGGCTAGTTGACTAGTCTTACGGCAGAGCTCTGGGCTCAACTGAGAAACCTGGACTCAACAGATAAGAAGGAGAGCAATTGAAGAAGATCCTTGATATTAGCATCAGGCCTCCACACTTACGTGTGTTCACACACATGTGAACACACATGCATCCATGCATACCACATACAGAAACACACTTAAAAAAAAAAACCTGTAAACTCTTAGAAATATCAACCACAGGCCCTTGCCTTTAATATAACCAATAATTAAGCTGCCATGTTTTCTTCATCAACACATACTAGACTAAATCTTCTGTCAGTTGTCCCTCAAAAATGTCCATAGAAATGAGCAACTTTCACCTTTTATCAAAACCTACAGCTGACTGAATTCAAAGTAGTAATCCTTGTCAAAGATTTTTTTTTTTTCCTTTTTTAATGATTGCAAGTTTAGATAGTGTATCGGTACACAGCACGTCCTGTAAGAGTACAGCCGGAACACGGGCGAGCTAGCATGATGAAGGATGAGTACTGTTCCCTGACAAGGAAAGGAAAGACTGCTCAATTGTTTCCTGAATAATCAAGAGGGTTGGTCACACTGGCCTGGAGTACTGAACACCACCAGAGGCCACCCAGCTTCCAGCTTCTGGATAACACTTTTGTTACATAAAACACTGGCAATCAGAGCGTGAGAAATCTCTAAAGAAAAAAAGAAAAAAAAAAAAAGCAATTTATCTGTGTCTTAAAAAGAAAAACTTTTTAAAAGAAGGAAAGGCAAAGAGAGGGACAAGCTCTAATGACCTCTTGGAAACTGTGCACGCTGGAGCAAGGACTTGTCCCCAGTGTCAGCCTGCCACCTTCACAAGGTAGGAGGTGCCTAAGGGACAGCAAAACATTCTTTCAGTGAAACACTCAAAACTTGGCAAGGGAAAACACTTAACTGGAGTGCTGATGTATCTTATTGGAGCACAAATGCACAGATACTACCTTTAACTTACCCGTCCTGTGTGGTGTTAATTATGTCACAGATATGCATGAACTGACCCCAGTCTTCAGTCTGAACTCCAGCAAATGTAGCCTTTTCTACAAAGATAAAGTTGCTTGTGTTGAGCCTGAGCCACAACAGAATAAAAAAAAATGTCTTGTCTTCTTGAAATATTCTGCCTGGTGCACTAACAAGTCATTAAGTCTATGCTACCAAAGGGTAAAGTGATTTCCCCCCCTCCTAAACAGTTCCCAGTAATTCAGGAAATCAATCAGAAGTCAAGTTCAGAGGGATGGTGTTGCAACAGTAATGAGTAAGAAAGCCCACAACAGCTAGCCACAGGGCCCAAACAGACCAGTTAAATCTCCATCCTCCAGGCTCTTACAGATATACAACTTCAGATCTATGGCAGACTGGATAGTCATGAGCAAAGTGGGCTACACATTGAAGGGTCCCTAGCCAGCCTGGCACACATAGCTCTGACAGGCCTTGCCCTTCTCGCCCATGTCTTTCTAGAAACCATTAGATGACATTCCTAAAGCTAGACACCAAGGTCTATTCCCTTATTTGACCACTTCCTGCTCCTGAGGCTGACTACCAAGTGTCAGCTATCAAAGTATTGAAGTCCAGCAATCAGAAGCCCCCTTTTGGCTACCCTAATTAACATGCCCAGTCAAAATTAAACACCCTTTTACCATTATAAACTGCCATTTTCCCATGTGCCACATCTGTCTCCTCTCTATCCAGAGGCAGTCCTTTATCCCTCCAGCATAAACACCCCTTTCCTCCTCTCCCTTGTCCCCTTCCCCTTCTTCCTCTACCTCCTGCGTTTGTCTCTTATTCCCTGCCCTCTGTCCCTCTGGGGTAAATAAACCTCCATGGTGCTGAGAACTTGGTCTTGGGGGTCCTGAGCAGGTACTTTTTCTTTCCCACGTCACTAAATCTTTCCTCATTTATCCCACAGGTACAGATGATGAAAGAATTTCAGAGCGCATGTATAAAGAAATTACTCAAGGCTACACATCAAATAGAACTTGCATTCAAATCAGGCTTATTTGACTTCACTGTTTGTATTATTTATATTTATATATATATATATTTATTTATTTATTTTATATAACCAAGTCCATTTAAATGAAAACAAACATTTATAGACAATATTTGGGAATTTGGGCATCGTTTTTTCCAAACTACTTCCTGCTGGTATTTTTAAGTTATGTATTTGGTGGGGAAATGAGAGCAAATAAAGGAAGCGACAGACAGCACAATAACCGAGCAAGACGGCTTCTGGCATCAAAGTTACACCACACAGCTTTACATAGTTACACCCCTGACATTCCCTTCTCTAGACAGACTATTTAAGAACTCAGAGCAAAGGCCAGAGAACCTCTAATGCAGTGGTTCTCAACTTCCTAATGCTGTGACTCTTTAACACAGTCCTTCATGTTGTGGTGACCCCAACCATGAAATTATTTGTTAGTACTTCATAACTGTAATTTGCTACTGCTATGGATCGAAATATAAGTATCTGTGTTTCCCAATGGTCTTTGGCGACCCTTGTGAAAGGGCCATTGGGAGCTCAAAGGGGTCATGACCCACAGATTAAGAACACTGCTCTACTGTCACTGTGTTCACTGGCTTCTATGACAAAGATTCCTAAGCACGGTGCAAACCATAGTGTGATACTTGAATCTGGCTCTGAATGGACAAAGCTGAGCAATCTTGCCTGTGTTGTTAGGCACACATTATTCTCCCATCTGCCAGATACTTCCTCCTCCTCTTTCCCAACCAGCTCATTCCTAGAGAACTCCTATTCACCCTTCCTCAAAGGCCAAGGCTGAGTTCATCTCTCCCTTTTCATAAGTCTTGCATGACATACGTGTTTTCTAGTATTGTAAAGTTTCTCACAATGGCTACTACAGAATATGTCCATTTCCTCACAAGCAAGGGCATTCCTTGAAGGTTGAAACTATGCCTTCCCAAAGGCAACTAGCTGGTAGTTCTTAATGTTTACAGAACTAGCGGATAATTTGACATACTGCTGGAGTTTTTTTTTTTTTTACTTATGAAGGTTCATGTGGTTCTCATACGCTAGTCAAGCAAGGAGATAGGCAATGAAGAAAGTGTCCTCCCTCAAGGGCAGCACTACTTTGCGGCTTTCGAAGATGTGGAAACACAGGTTTAAGTTCAAAGGTGTTCCCTGTCCCTAAAGCAGTTAACTTATCCTGAGCCCCAACTCTCTGAATCTAAGCCCTCCACAACCAGGTTCTTAGGATTTCATCACCCCACTTAGTTCCAGACAGTTTGTCATTAATACACCCTGGTGCCACACCCTGTCCTCAAGGGAGGGGTCGGGAGAAAGAAGGGAGCTGAGGTGGCAAAAAGCCAAGCATAGTCAGTGACTTCTGAGTCAGCCCCTGTAGTTCAGAATGCAAGCACAAGGAAGAAGAGAGGGCAACGCTGGGTTGGAGGGCGACACTGTGGGCCTCTGTGACTCCAGGTGGCCCCTCTCCCTGTCCCCAGCACCAACAGCGAGCACTTTCAAACTCTGAGTTTAAGCAAAAGGCCACTCAGATCGCTTGAGGTGTGAGCTGAAGAAAATTGGTTTGGAGAAACCTGCCTCTCCAGGTGAGGTAACGCTAATTTGCTCCTCTGAGCCCTCGCCTCCTCGTCTGTAAAATGGGTATAACAATAAAGTGCTGGGAATGGACGCACTTTATGAAGAACCTTCCCCGGGTCAAGAAGTTTCCACTTTCTCCTCCCAGCGGTCCCAACACTCCACACACTGCTGCGGGTCACCTGCTTGGCTCCACTCGCCCAGCCGACATCCAAAGGAAGATTTTGCATTTTTTTTTCTCCAAAATGTTCTGGTATAAGTGAGCCAAGAAAAGAAAGGTGGACAGCTGTCGCAGGTCGCACACAGGTGGCGTGGGAAAGCTGCGGGGGAGGGTAGCATTCCCTCCAACTTGGTCCAACTCGCCCCCACCCCCAACAGTCGAGAATGGAGTCGAGCGGGCAAAGCTCCCACTGTCCCCAAAGCCAGCGGGGATGTTACTTCCCACGCTTGCTTACCTACGAGGTGACCCACGGAGGTACCGTAGGGATCGCGGTGACTCTTCCCAAACGCCATGGTAGCTCCAGAGGACCCTCCCAGGAAATCCGCCTCCACCGCCCTCCGACTGGCGACTCCACCCGCTCGGTGCTCGAGGCTCCTCCTCTCCGCTCCAGCGCTTCGCGGCCGCTGCGAGGCGCCATGCAGCGCGCCGGGCGGGGACCCGGGGGACTTGGCGCACCTGCTGCGCGCGCCTGGCGCTTCCTGCTCCGCGTGACTGTAGGTGGGCTGGGAGCCCGGGAGGAGCCCTGTAGCTCTGCACCCCAGGGCCTTGGAACTCTTAGCCCAGTTCCAATATCTCCGTTTGAGGGCTGCAGACCGCTCCCTTCCCTTTGGAGACTAGGCAGTGTGGGGTTGGTTGCAAACAGAGAGCAGAGGAATATTGCCAGGCTTAATGGAAGGACTTAGACCTCGTAGGTCACTGTCACACACACCCAGAACAATGAGATTTCATCTATTCCCATTCCCACTCCAGAGATCCCGGAACCGATTCTTGCGCCCTTCCTTTTAAAATCTACGAAATTGGGAGGGGGAATGGGCTGATTAGGAGAGCGACAGCCTCCCTGGAGCCCGGCCTTTGTTTCTCTCCTGTTTCCAAGAGGGACCACAGGGCGCCGCCACACAAGCTCTTGGCTTCTAACTCCATCTCCTAGGAGCCCTGCTTTCCAACCTACTGGTGAAAGGAGAGTGGGGCTTTCCTGGGGCTCTGGCAGCAAATATGTTTGGAATGTAAATCCACATTAAGAAACCAAACCCCTTTGTAGCTTCTCTACTGAAACCAAGATTTCTTCCTTCCTTCCTTCCTTCCTTCCTTCCTTCCTTCCTTCCTTCCTTCCTTTCTTTTTTTTTTTTTTCTTTCTTTTTTTTTTCTTCTTCCTTTAATGGAACCAAGATTTCTTTTTCCTTTAACTCAGCTAACATCCAGAAAACAGCCTCCAATCTGTAGGGCGCCTCCTAAGAGGCCGGTGTACTAAGCTGGTGGTATAATTTTTTGCTTCCTGAGGCTAACTGGAACTCAACTCCATATATACAGCGAATTTATTTTTTACCCCTGGAAATGGTGACAGCGAAAAGAGCAAGAGGACCTGGCCTGACCCATGTTTTAGCCTTAAATATTTTAGCATAGACGCCCAAACCAGATATATTGTGTTCCCAGTGACTAACATCTATTTTATTGATCTCAAATCTTCTGCCTGCTCCTCCTCCTGGATTAACATCGACATCTACAATACTTCATTTTTGTTGTGAGGATGTTTCTCATAACGAGCTTGTTCTTAACTGAAATAGGAAGTGTTTATCAGGCCCACTAGCTGCTTCGTGTGGGGCCATTTATCTCCTCCCTTAGTCAAAGTGTCATTACAGCTGATGTTGAAAACCTCTTTTGGTGATGTCAGCCTGCTCTCTCTTTTGTCTTAAGGTCACTGGCAAATCATTTGCTGTAAAGAGTAAGGTTTTTCCTGCTGGCCTGGACCCACCGCAGCGCCAGCCCCAATTAACACACAGAGACTCTGTATAGATATAATTCTGTTGGCCAGTTACTTGTTTCTTATTGACTAGCTCTATCTTAAGTATTAACCCATTTCTATTAATCTAAGTATTTCCACGTGGTTTTGCCTTCACTGCAGTGTGCTGGGGGACAACGTAAAGGAGAAATCAAGTTCAGCACTAGCTCAAGGGCTGATGATCCTCTATGGGAAATAAGAAGTAAGAAGGAACCAAGTGTCCCCCATAGACCACTTCCCTCCTGCTTCTACTGAGGGTGGGGGGTTAGGCTTTTTGTTTCCCTCTGTCTGATTTCCTTCCATGGCAAGATTGAGAGAGAACAGAGGAAGAGTATCAAGGAGTGTGGCCTAGACACAGTGGCTGATTAGTACCACTATGTTCTTGCCCATCGATGACCACTATGTTCTTGCCCATCGATGCCTGCATAGACACTGCCCCGCCCCAGGATGTTGTCATGGCTGTAACCATTCCTTTCTACACTGTCACTTTCTCCATGATTCCACCCTTCCCCAGAAGCATCAACCCAGTCGGTGTTCCTGTAGTCTAGGAGAAGGACTTTAAAAGTCACAGCCAAGTGGAGGTCAGAAAAGAAGCAAAGATGAGGATTAAATATCTGGGCTGGAGAAGTGGCTCAGGGGGTTAAGAGCACTGGTTGCGCCTCTACAGAACCAAACTTCGTGTCCCAGCACCCAGCTGGCAGCTCACAGCTATAGGTAACTCCAGTTCCAGTGGATCTGACACTCTCTTCTGGCCTGCATGGGCACCAGGGTACACACATGGTGCACAGACCTACACGCAGGCAAAATACTCAGGCACATAGAATAAAACACAGTTTAAATAAATGACCAAACAGATAGACACCAGGGCCCTAAACCTTGCTAAGAGCTCTCCCAAAGCATTTTTATTATGTGCGTACGTGTGATGTATGTGTGCAGATATGCAGGCATGTAAGTACTGTGTGTGTGTGTGTCTGTTGGTCAGAGGACAACCTCGGAGTTTTGTTGTCGTCATCGTCTGAAGCTTCCTCCAATAAACCAGGCCAGCTGAGCTTCCAGGAAATTTTGTCTTTGCCTGCCCACCTCACAACAGCATCACCACAAAGGCTGAGGCACACTACTTCATGCAACCTTACACAGCTTTTGGAGATTCAAACTCAAAACCCTCACTCGTAGTGGCAAATGCTTGGAAGCATACCAAGACCTCTCTCCAGCGCTGCTGATCATTTAAGTGTGTGTACATCGTGATGCTAGGTAAAAATATGCGCAAGATACCACTTTTCAAAATGTGTTTAATACCTGCAACTGGAAACCTTCCATTACTGTGCTAAGGAAAAGTAGCATACTGTTAAATGGCTTGGCTACATGTTGAGCCATGGCTGTCTGATTCTGGAGCCTATATTACTGCCAGTATTTGAAGTTGATGAGTGAGTGTGGCATTTTACTTGTTAAAGGACTCTGATTCAAAGTGATTCCTTGACAAATGAGGTAGTCTACTGTCTACTGGTACAGAGTCCTGCCCTTTTTTTTTTTTTTTTTTTGGTTGTTTTTGTTTTTTTCCGTGCTTGCTTAAGAATGGTTAGTGTGTTTTTGCCAGCACCATAAATTAGATGTGTTCTCTATTCATTACATGATTAATCCCATAATAGGTATGAAACCAGATTTTACAGATTAAAACAATTAAGGCAGATAGTTTTTCACACAGTCACAACTGCAAGTGAAAAATCACCAGACTCCAGATTCTGTGACCTTAACCACTGCACTGTACCACCCTTTCGTGCTCCTGAATTGCAGGCAATGCACTTATCTAGCACACACATTGAAAAATATAGGTTCTCTAGGGGTGTGTGGGTAGGGGAATGCTTGCAGAATGTGGGGACCAGAGGTGGTAAATGAGCACATACGTAAAATAAAAGCTGCTACATCCAAAGGAATTCCATCAGTGACTGTTTCTCAACAATGGAAATTTTAGGTTATCAGAACTAGATGTGGCTTTGGAAGCTACACAGTCTCTGTTACCAGAATTTTAGAGTGATATCCCTTGAAAATGAGTCACTGGCCCAAGGCTATCCAACTCCAGACTAGGATGACACAATATAGATTAAGGATAAAATGCCTACTCTTCCTTTTTTGTGTTCCTTGTTTGGGTATTTAAATGAGAGCCTCCACCTGCTCTGTAGTAGCTTCTGCTCTTTTTCATTTGAATGTGTTCAGTTCCAAACATTACCCACCCCTTCCCAATTATGCTTCTATGGAAACTACCTTCAGTAACCATGTAAGACTCAACTCTAGCACATAGGCTTAACCTTTGTCTCTATCTTACTTCTTTCCTACAGCTCCTCCCTCCCTCCCTTTCTTCTTTGCTGGTTCCCAAGAGATCTGTCACCTGGTTCCATTTGCCTCTCTGCTGTGCTAAACCTAACCATATGCATCTTTCCACATCCTTTGCCTCCTCTCTTCCCAGGTCCCTCCATTATATTTTCCATTCTTTGGCGGAGCCTTTTCTGACCACCCCCACAAGACCTGAGCCTTTCCTTCCTACCCAAAGTGTGTTTCTTCTTTAGAACCTCCAACAGTTTGTGCTAGATGATCTTTCAGAGGTGTCTTCCCTGCCTGTCTTCTAAATAAAAGTCTTTCCGGGGAATAGAACCATGTTTGCTGGGTTGTGCATCCTGTCACTCAACGAACTTGAAGAGATACATATTGGATGTATGAATCACCCCTTCAAAATCTTAAGCAGCTCTGTTCTTCCTTCGATCTAGTCAGTCCCTTATCTGCTCCTCAACACACACACACACACACACACACACACACACCCTGGATGGCTTGGAAACAGCTCGGTTTGTCTAGAATTGTGCTTAACCCCTTCCTCCACCATCTCTAGCCGACTGACTGTCTTGTTTTGACTGCACCAGTTATTCTCAAATTCAATGCACCGATTGGCTGCAAAGAGTGTACCTGCATCCACGTGCCCCACACACCCCGCCATTCCCTGCCCCCAGACCTCTGCATTTAACTTGTCTTGGATGTATAAAGGGCATCAAGATATTTAAGTGTCCTCAGCTGACACCACAACTTTCTGAATAGGATACCTTGGCACTCTCTCTGAGTTCCATTTAATCAGTTTGGATTGCTCGGTGTTTTATGTCACCTCACTCTCTGCCTGTTTGTTTTTTCCATGGGCCACACTCTTTACTCCAGTCGTTCTTCGATATCACAAGTCTGCTCAGGGATAAAATTAAATCTGAGTTTTCATGAACCCAACCAGGTCCTCATGAATCTAATGGCATATTGTTTCTCCTCTTTTTGTTTGTTTTGGATTTTTTTTTTTTTTTTTTTTTTTTTTTTTGCAGAATAAATCTTGCCCACTAATTTTCTAACTCATATACATAATTTGTTTCCAATGATTATTTTAAACAATACTATAACTTTATAATTCCTGATTATGGAAAATGAAGTTCAAATAAAAGCTTTTCTACTGCCTTCTTCCAGAACCTCTATCAGCTTCATGAAGATGCTCCTATCTCTCTACTTCTTCCTTCAAGACCCTTTTGCTCCATTGCTATTGAACTTGTCCTGAACCTACAGACCCAGGGATGAGAATGGAAGGAAAGCTCCATAG